AGTATAAACCTACTAGTAGGCTATCACATATCGTGCCTTCTGATTGGCTACGCTACTAGTAGGCTATTAGTGATAGCCTACTAATAGAAAATTCAAAATGGCGGAAAATTCGCGTTTTGCACTTTTGCCGAAGTGTCTGATGATTTTTTGGACGACTTGTTGAACAATTCTGTACTAAACAAAACCCCGAAAAAAGCAACAAAAATATGGAATGGCAATTTTTAAGGGTAAGAAAATAGACAAAATAACATACACTCAATGAAATTTTAAAATTAAAACTGAGTTTTGTAAAACATTTTATGCGAACAAAAACTAAAATATTTGTTTACCTTTAATGGTTTTATATTTTAGTATTGTGTTTGCAGCCTGGTCGTAAATTAATGTTAAAGTTTATACTAAAACAATTAGACAGCTCGGCCTCGTTGTCCGTGAGCAAATAGTCAACTCGGCTTCGCCTCGTTGACTATTCGTTCATAGACAACTCGGCCTCGTTGTCTAATTGTTAATTAGCCAATAAAATAAGGTAAAAACAATAATCTTGATAATTTCACGTAAATCGAACCTCACACCTCTCCTGAAGCAAAGTCCTCGCAACGGCCCTGCGGTCGGGCAAACTAATACTGTGCCCCCCAAACAATTAAGATTAGGCCAGTACCCGAATGTGGAGAGGAACAGGAAAGGATCTTAAAATCATCAAGAGAAGCAGTATGACCTGAGTTGCTCGAATGCATGGGAAAAGATGCCCGTAATTAAGTTGAGGACCGCTACTCGTCTTATCCGTTAAACGCAGAAATTCCCAGGTGTTCAGCGACTCGTGTATGTTGATGGCCCACATACGACGCGGTTTATTCATATTTGTAGCCCTATCCTATATTCATTTACTCTGAAGATGTCTTAAGTTAAACACGAAAAGTTAGTACTTCTTAAATAAATTTTATATCTATATTCCTGTCTATATGGCTCTTTTTGCGTACGTTATGCTGCATGGGCATTAATTTTTATATTACGATTACGATTCCCGCCTGGTTCATCACTTGCAAGTATATTGGTCAAAGTTCGTCCAGCAAACGATATTTCGTCGCAACTTGCGGAAAGCATCGTTGGGTTTTGCAGATGACCAGTGGCGGCGCCAGGGGGGGCAAATGCCCCCCAAATTATTTTTTGCCCCCCCATTTTGCCCCCCCCTCAAAAAAAATTATTAGTCACTAAGAGCGACTAAAGGCTACACAAGTATTCTGTCGTTATCGGAAAATGTATGGCTTATAAGTTGTCATTACTCATTTGTGAATGCGCGAAAACATGAAACTGTTTTTTACAGTTTCAATATTAGTTTGTAAATCTCTGAATGGTAAAATTTGCCAATACTCCAATAATACGTTTCAAAAAAAAACAAAAAAGCTTTAGTTTTGCAGAGTTAAATTCTCAAACGTGTAAGGCAATAATAAGATGAAAGTATCACGAAATTATTTGAATAAACCACATCGCATATATGGGGGCGAATGTCCTAAAGAGGGGCGATATTCCTAGGGTATTCGCCCCACCCCCCTGGGAGGCGATATTCCTAGGATATTCGCCCCCGGGGGCGATATTCCTAGGGGGGGGATTTCCTGGGGGGCGACCTTTTTAAAAATTCTATCTTGCCCCCCCAAAATTTGAGTTTGCCCCTCAAATGCCCCCCCAAATTTGGAAGCCTGGCGCCGCCACTGCAGGAAACTAATGGCTCAGATATTGAATTAAATCCTGGTCCTGTATTTCTGTAACTCTGTTCAAAACAACAGTCCAACTAAGCTGTTATCTAATGTAGTGTTAGAGCAAAGGTTAATTAGATATATTATCAGTTTAAAATACATTTTGGTTTTACACATTACTATTTAGACATTTTCAAATGCTAATAAAATAATCCCCACCCTCCATCCTCATTACATTGTCATTTTGCTTTCTAACATAAATGTTTTTGTTTGGATATTAATACAAAAATGATGAATAAAGCTGGATATTCGCTATAGATATTTTTATCTCGGAACAACCCACTTGCTGATTAGTATGAAAATACAATAATCATATTATATGGATGGATCAGATCAATGGCACACAATGTACAAAACTTATACCTTTACTCAAACTGATATTCTCCCACAACACAAATTGTTTTTGTGTGGGTATGTTGTGTTAAAGTGAACAGTGACGTGTGGTATATATCATTATTAACTGTGCACAGGATTAGAATTGAATTAATACATACTTCACTCCAACCTCGTTCCCAGGGTCTCCATGACCTTCAAACAATCTCTCCTATTCAGTGGTCTTCAATTAATGTATTATTGACTCTTTAAATTTGCTACAGTAATGCATGTTCTTCGAATAGTTTATGTATATTACTCAGCAGTTAACATTGGCAAGTGTAAACAACTGAAGTGACAGAAAACATGGTTTGACAAATGACAGTTCACTAAGGGACGGACCATTAGAAAAGTGATTTGGTGGCGGGGAGGATTTTCCAAGAGGCAATATATTTTTTTTGTACACCTATAGAAGAAATTTTTTTTTCTCACTTGATGGTTGGAAATATTTTTTTTTAAAGGGACCCTACAGTAATTTTTTAGTCAAGTAAGTGTTGTTTATATTTTTTTGTTAGTGTCGCTACTTGACATGCGCACCACAGTAAGCATGCGTTTTCTGGTGTGCAAAAGTACTCATACTCATGGATAATGCATGTAAGATACAGCCAAACGAATCTCCGTGGAGTCCCCTACTTAAGGTGGCTTTCGACTAAAAACTGACTATAGGGCCCCTTTAAGTGAAATTTATAGGCCTATTAGTGGTGTAGTCCTGGAATGTTAACAAGGGGGGCTCTCCAAAGTGCCCTGAATTGACGGGAGGGGAGGGGAGGCACAATAAGATATTTTGGAAATTCTAAATTTTGTTGGGGTTTATTCTAATAACTCTGGGACAAACATTTGACGTTATTCTTATTAAAAACAAGCCGAAGCGAGGGCCGAAGGCCCGAGGAAATTTTTAAATTTAGAGTCTCTGAAATGCCATTTCCTGCACTTTGGGGAAGATTATGACAGAATTCTGATGGTCAGAAAACAGCGTTTTAGTATGTCGAAATTTACAATTTAGTGGTACTAAATGATATAAAGATTGCAAAAATGGCGATATAAAGATTACAAAAATCATTATTGTGTTAAATGATGAGTGAAAATGAGATGCAATTCTAAAGAACATTCTCGTTCACTGATATTTTTTTTGTGTGTGTTTTTGACATTGTTAAGATTATGCAACGTGCCAAAATATAGGGTGGCTCAGCACGCTGGTCATATTCAGCAAATTTTCTCCCAGGACCGCAGGTTCATATTGTCAGTGGACTTGCGGTGTAAAATTGAAACTTTTGCATTTTTCAGAGAACTGGCCACTTTCTGTATTAGATGCCCGCTGTCAATACGAACCCGCACGAGTGGGAGAAATTTTGCTAAATTTGACCAACATGCAGCCCCCAAGTCAACATGAAATTTCAACGAGGGGGCTCAGCCCCCCTGAGCCCTCCCTCCAGTACACCACTTGGCCTATCTTCTAAGCAAGGAATTTTTTTTTGCACTATGCCTGGAAAGTTTTTTTTTTCTTAATTTTTTTCTGGGAATAAATTTTCTTTTTGGTTTTGCCCCACCCCCCATCACTTTTCTAATGGTCCGCCCCTAAATAGCTGGCTGTTGGCTGTATAGAAACTTCAAATAATGTGTGCATGAAACTTTTATTTCTTGACTGCATCCGTTACAATCATATTGACATTATCATGTCATTTTCATTATTCAGTTCCTTTCAAGAAAATACAAAATGTGAATTAAGTTTTTTCGCAGATACATGCACGCGTTGCGTACCTATTTTTGCATTTGTTTTGGGAATTGTTTTTAAAAAAGTTTTAAAAGTTTAAAAAAGTTTTAAAAGTTAAAAAAGTTAGATTTTCAAAAAAGTTTAAAAAGTTTAAAAAGTTAAAAAAGTTTAAAAAGTTTAAAAAGTTTAAAAAGTTAGGGGTTAGTGGTTAGGGTTGGGTTGGGGTTAGTGTTAGGTGCCGCGAATTTATTATTATGATAAATTCAAAATGTGCCGCGAATTTGTCATAATGATAAATTCGGACGTGTTTAAGAATTTACTCATATAGTAAATTCAAAGGTGGAGCTCATGCTGAAATTTTTGTTTATTTCGTCATTCCGCTGATATGGCGAATTCTTTGACGACTGCAATATATTTCTGAATCGTTTGAGTGTAAATTGCTCCTTATGATTAAAATATCCAAAATTAGAAAAATCCGGAAAAAACCGAAACTGACGTCGTTAGCTATGTCCGGTGAAAATTTAAGAAAAATTCGCTAAAACCCGCAGGAGAACAACTCGTTTGAAAATCAGTATTACATTTTCAATGTTTTTCTTATTGCAGCGTAATGTACTTTATTAAATAACTCTGCGAGTTTTCAACATTTTTCGTTCAAACTTGGTCAGATAGTAGAACTGGGGCCGGTTGTACAGTATAAAATTGGATGACGTTTCCACTAACTATAATTAACTTTAATCACTTTTTTATACGACCGGTCCCTGGTCCATTAATGCTTTCATGGAAACCAATAAAAAAAGTTAGCCAAAATTAACACTCAAAGGTGATTTTATTTAGTCATTAAACATTATCTTAACGAGTACATTTTAATTCATGCACAAAACTAAATGCTGTGCTTCTACTCGTTTAGTTATATATTTTCAGACAATTTTAAAGGGATTTAAACTTTTCCGTGCGTGTACGCACGTATGAGAAATGCTTAAAGATGATGTCCACTCCGTTCTGCGCATCAGCTCTGCTCATAACAAAGGGGGATCCCCAGATATAAACATTGCCCAAATTTTGCATCTTTTGAACTTTTTTGAATTGAAACGTACAGTTTATATTCTTTAACAAGAATAGCGAACCAGAAAAGTGTTAGATATTCAGTTAGTATATCATATTTTACAAATATAGTTGTTCAAAACGTGAACAAAGTTCGCGCATGTGCACAGGAGTGGACATCATCTTTAACTGGAAAGCAGCCAACTTCGTACGTACGAGATTGGAAAGCAGCCAGTTACATACATGCCTCAATATAAATCGATCAATTAGACTTTAGATAAAGGCTTTGTTTGGATTTAGGCATCCCTGCCCCTCCGAATCGAATGCGACAATAAAATATTTTTAAAAAACATACATGTAACATGAGACAACCCTCATCCGCGGCTAATGATTGAGAAAACTTAGACTAGTCACTAGTTTAATAACGTATGAAAGCTTTCCGTTGACAAGATCAGTTAGCTGAACAAATAAACTTTCTAAAATCTAATAAAACTCTTTGTCCGCACAGTAGGTTGCCGGATCTGTTGTACAACAATGCAATATACTTTTTCGCATTTTGCATAATTAACTTATTTTCGTGCAAGCAGTCGTTGCGTAGATTCTTAATTTCCCAAAAAGGCGAAAACAACGTACATATATTTTTACATATACCAACATAACTATAGAATATTTGATTGGCTTCTAGTTATAGACATACAGATATTCTCGTCAGTACTCCGAAATAACTCTTCAGATAATTATTTATTTAATTACTATAATACGTCATTTTCACTATATATTATGCTGAAAGGCTTTCAGCGCATATATTCATTTCTGTGATGGCGACGCACCGAGAATGGTGCAATCGTTTGGCAGGCAGGTGTTTCATCTTATCCTTAGCAATATTTCTCTATATTCGTGTAGTCCCTACTTCGGGATTTATTGCGGATATCTACGAAGATCATGCGATTTCATTTGAAAATGAAACTTTAAAAATAAATCACACTGTCAATATTCATGAGAACGCCACTCTGACAATCCAACCTGGTGTAAACATCATGTTCTCAGGAAACGGTAGTTTAACTGTCCATGGAAACCTCGTTGCAAATGGCACTGAAACATTACCAATTGATTTAAGTTCAGAAATTGGCCGGAATTTTAGCAGTTCAGAAATCAATGGCATTAGTTTACTAAGCTTGAGACTTGTTGATGGGAACGGATTTAGCACTGGCAGATTGGAAGTCTTTCACGCAGGAATTTGGGGAACTGTTTGCAACCATGGCTGGAGCCAGATAAACAGCATTGTTGCTTGTCGTGAACTTGGATTTTCAACGGGAACATTTACAAGAGAACACAGAAAAGGATATGGAGAAATATGGCTGGATGATGTGGACTGTACAGAAAGTGATCGTTCATTGAAACTTTGTCAACACCTTGGATTTGGTATACACAATTGCAGTAGGTTTTACAGTATATATAATTATATAATTAACAATTATTGAATGAGGTTGAGCACGATATGAAGAATTATCAAGCCCGAAGTTTGCCGTTATATCAACCGAAGCCGAAGGCTGAGGTTGATAACGGCAAACTGAGGGCTTGATAATTCTTCATATTGTGCGAAAACCGAATTCAATACAAACAGAATTTGGAAGAAACCATTTGTATTTTATTTTGATTAAGAAAAAAACAATTCCTTAGTCCTTCGGCAGCCGTCGTCGTCGTCATATCAATGGCGTCAGCGAGTCAATAGAACGCGTCCAAATTTTTTCAACGTATCTATCGTATGCTGTGCAAAAAATAGGAAAACAAGCTTATTTGTGTGAGAAATTGAACATTTAAGAGACTGCATTTGTACTTGTTAGATTTTATATGTTATAGATTAATAAACTTTCGACATTTGACGTAATTCGATCAGCAAACGTGACAACGTTAAAATTAATGGTATTTTAACATTCGACAAATTTGAATCGAGTAGATCACAGTTCAGAACACCTAACATGTAAACTTCTTTGTTTTCATGTTTCGCTCGCTACTCTGGTTTAAATAAATGATTACAAAGCCCAGTCGAATTGTAATCAAGACCCAACGTTTCGACACTCCAGTCTAGTGTCTTCATTAGGGGTGATCTAAAACTGCGATCGTGGCTTCTTAAATACCCAAGGGATGACGTCACCTGCCAAGAAGATGCATATATTCCTCTGGCAAATAGGCACCGTCATCCCTATTCAAAGCATGATGACTCATATTTATATGCCACGCTTCTAGGCAGAGTCTCTGACCATAGCGATTGTTTGTGGTAATTACTTTAGAGTTTTCTCACGCAATCTCGTGTTTGGTGTAACATACATGTTCGGCTAAAGCTGATTTTCCCTTGCGGTCTAAAGTTGAAACAGCCTTTTGATGTTCTTTTAGCCGTGTATACCAAACTGGCGTTTAGACTGACTCGAATACTCTTTGTTGCAGTCAACGCGTGGTATAGAATATATAGCATGAGTCTTCTGATTTGTTTCAACAGGATCTTTTGGCTTTGCGAAAATATGGCCTAAAGTCAAATAGGGTTTTAAGGCAACCTTAATATTACAATTACTTAAGATTCTCTTGATTGGTTCTTTGACACCTTGAATGTATGGAACTATTGCAAGACCCTTAACAGAGGTATCACCCTCGGAGTTATTTTGGTTCCTACAAACATGTGGTCTCAGGCAATCATTAAGAAAACGCTTTGGGTAATTGTTTTCCCCTAAAACATTTAGAACATATTCACGTTCATTAGCTTGAGAATCACTGTTTGACGGCAACGATTCAGCTCTTTGAAGCAAAGTTTTTGCTACGGATCTTTTATGGCTTACTGGGTGATGAGAGTGGTATGACAAGTATTTGTGTGTGTGGGTTTGCGATAAATATCAGTCTCTAACTTCCCTTCGACAGTTCTGTGCAAATTCAAATCTAAAAAAGCTAAATGTCCATTTATCTCACGTTCTACCGTAAATTGGATGGACGGCTCAATAGAATTTAAATGTTGCAGCAGAATATCGATCTCATTTGTAGAAACCGCAGAGATGACATCATCGACGAAACGTTTCCAAAACGATAGGGACACCGGAACCGAGGCTAAAGCTCTTTGTTCGACATCTTCCATTACTAAATTAGCAATTACTGCCGAAACTGGTGACTCCATCGCTGTTCCAAAAACCTGTTGATAATAACAGCCCTCAAACACAAAGTATGTGGCGTTGAGACAAAAAGACAGAAGATCAATAATATCTTCTACAGGCAAGGATGTTCTTTGTAACAAAGTGGCATCCTGTCTTAGTCTTTTTGCCGCAACCTTGATGGCAAGATCAACTGGGATATTTGTAAACAAGGAAACGACATCAAATGATACCAACACTTGATCTGCTTTAAGAGTTTTACCTCTTACAAATTCTGCAAAATGACAGGAATTTGTTACAGTGTTTTCGGTATTTCCCACTACAGGGGACAAAATTTTCGCCAAAAACCTTGAAACTCCATATGTAGGAGAATTCACAAAGGACACGATAGGTCTCAATGGAATTTCCGGTTTATAGATTTTCGGTAAGCCATAGAAACGCGGAGATAGTCCATCACTGCTGTACGTATGAAAAGTTATACAGCAGTGATGAAAAGTTATACAGCAGTGATGTTGATTCAGTGACTTTGTTGTTGAATGATACACCATGCAAAAGTTGAATGATACACCATTTGCCTTTGTTGTTGAATGATACACCATACAGAAGATTCATTTCTGGCAAACATTAAAGTGGAAGTCAAGTCCGTTCTGCGTATCGGTTCTGCTCATAACAATGTGAGGACCCTCTAATGTAAACATTGCCCAAATTTCGAATGTTTCGAATTTTTCTGAACATAAACTCTATTTCATATTCATTTTGAAGCACAGCGAACCAAAATGGTGTTTGACATTCAGACAGTACATCATATTTTTAAAAAATACAGCAGTTCAAAATGTGAACAAGCCTTTTGTTTACATACGGACTTGACTTCCACTTTAAGCTTCAATCTTAAAATCAAGTGTCGAGATAGCGGAGCTAAAATATAACACGTTCAGTTCTGTTTAGAAAGCGGAGCTTGACCTTTTGTTTCAAGGATACTATTACAAACAAGACGCCTGCTCAGGCGTTCACACTGGCCTGAAAGTGGCAACTTTCGTGGTAGGGTGTAATACAGGGATACAGGGATAGGGATACAGGAGGTCTGGACCATATAAATACAAGCAATAAATACAATCATGATCAGCAACTATCAACCATAATATACAAAGACGCCGGCTCAGGCGTACCCTCCGGCTACGGGCAACTCAACCTGACAAGCCAGGCCCACTGTAACTATGATTATCAACTATCAACCGTAAATAATGATGGGCCAATAATAACAAAGAAATTATATAGTCCTTGATTTGTAATGCCGTTAGATGGCTCGTTTCAGGTGCTAAAAAGTTCGTAGACACAGACGATTCTTCTAAAATTAAAGAAAGGGGGGAAGTTGAATCTTGTTCCAAAAACAAATCGAACCGTATCACGTTTCACTTCGCCGCACGCAACGCCACCTCGCTGAATACAATCGAAAATACATTTTTATAGTAACATATGATGAAATGGAAAGTAATTTGGTGCAAATTAATGTAATTAGGTGCAAATCTATAATTATGCAAATGAACACAAGTGCACAACGCATGTCTACAACGTATATTTATACTTGTTAATTAAAAAGTCAAACTGTCAAACCTTTAACCTGTCCTTGTTTATATTCCAATGGATTGTATAAATTCGCTGGGTCCAAACGTTTGGGTTTTCGAGTCGTTACACAAAGAAAAATACATTAATTCAACAAGCAAGAGAGTCCAGAGTGCGACACAACGTATTTTCCATAGGAAACCGGCACAAGTCTTTGAAAATTCAATGAAACTGTGTGAAATATATATTAGATCGCTCAGAGAAAAGCCGCCATTTTGAAACTGAACTGAATATGTCTCTAGAGCAATCTATCCTTGGAGTTCGGAATTGTGCGCGTGCGTACAAGGGTACACGCTAATAAACGAAAAATGTACCACAAGCATGGCATGAGCCGGCTATTACGTACATAAATACATGTAATCTTATTACTATACTATGTAAATCATGGGACCGAGGAATCGATGGGATTTTGGCTTAATCGTTGCACCCTGAGCCTGCGATGAGCAGTAACGCAAACTCGATTTCTCGACTACGAAAAAAACAGGAAAAAACAGAAAAAGAGGGTTTTAAGACACTTGGCCTACAGGCCAGTGTAATAAGTACCAAGGTTCGAAAATTAATTTATGTCATCAATTCATGAACTTTGACACAACACTATGGTTACCAACACCTGAAACGCTAATCCTTTCACACATCGTGAGGTATAAAAAAAAAACTGAACAGATTTGAAATTGCTCTCAATTTCGCCATTAGTATGATAGTATCCAGTTTTTGATATATACAGTAGTTGTTAATGGCCTAACCAATTTGAAAGTTGGTCAAAAGGAGGAAAAATGGTTTTCTGCATGGATACAGTCGAAAGAACCATTTTTACTGTCGTTCCAATTGAAGTGTTCATCAAATATTGATTCAATACATTACCTCGGGCTGACCAATTCATTTGATCAAGTTCCTCGAAATATTCATACACTTCCTAGTATAATTGTAAACTTTCTGTTGAATAGTTTGAATGCACCAATCACCTTTGTTGTTTGTGCAACTAACCAATCATAAATAGAAAGGAAGTGACCAGAAATGATCAAATTCTTGGAATTGGCGCATTCACAGGAAGTTTAGTATAGTTTAGTTTGTTTGTTTAATAAAAACATCATCTGGCAGTCAGAAGACTGAATTACATGACGTTAAGTGTTACAAGGTTATAAATAGTAAAAAATTCTATATTACAATGCAATTTAAAAATTGTTAATATATACTATATATCATATACTTAAATGTACTAATCTATATGAGTTAAAAATTCTAAAATGTTCAAGGAACATCTAATTTGTAATGTTTCTTAGCATAAAAGTTCATAAAAGAGTTTCCGAAACGATTTGTATTTGCTGGTAAAACTTCAAAAGATCTTTCTTTTCGTAATTCTCTATTGCCTGCTTTGGATGGTAAAAGTTTGGCAAGTTTATGATCATCATTTAAAACAATGTCGTTGAAGAGATTATTGGATAGATACTCCCGTCTGTTTTCAAGAGTGGAAATACCAGCGATGTTAAGAGCCTCGTCGTAAGACAATTCATAGAATATTATTTTCATTGCTCGCTTCTGTATACGTTCAATGTTTTTTGCAAGATTTCGTGGCAGGGAACTATGGAATAATTGGCACGCATATTCGAGGACAGACCTTATACAGCTGCAAAAAAATTTGACCAAATCTGCCGAAGCGACATCAGCACGTTTGAGTTGCCTCAACAAATATAAACGTTTAGCTGCTTTGGAGACAATTGAATTTACATGGTCTATCCATTTAAGGTCATTTGTTAATATAACTCCAAGCGATTTGATACTTGTCACTCTTTCCAAATTTCGGTCACCAATACGTATAGGTTCAAAAACAGGTGGTAATCGTGAAAAAGATATTACCATTTCTTTGCATTTAAATGGGTTTAGTTGAAAGGAATTGTCCATAGACCAAGTAGTAATATCATCGATATCCATTTGTAAAGTACTTTGCTCGTTTTTTCAACAATTTCAGAGACCGTAGTATCGTCGGCAAATTTCCACATTTCTGAAAGGTGATTATGTAACACAAGGTCATTTATCATGGCTAAGAATAGCCAAGGCCCAAGTCGTGTGCCTTGAGGGACACCAGCTGGAACTTTGGAGCCAGTCTGAGAAACAATTATCACTTAGTTTGACCCTTTGCCATCTATTACGTAAAAAGTCAATAATCCAGTTAACCACACAGGGCTTAATACCAAGGCTGAATAATTTCGCAACTAATGTGGTGTGATCTACCATGTCAAATGCTTTTTTATAGTCAAGAAATACAGTGCGAACAGATGAACCACTTCCATCTGTTGCACTCAACCAACAATGGAGCATCGATATCAAGGCAAGTACAGTGGAAGAATTTGGAATAAAGCCAAATTGTTGGGGATCAACAACCTTTAACAGAGTTGGTTTTACTTCTCTTTCGATTATAAGACGTTCCGCTATCTTTGATAGAGTGGAAGTTAAGGAAATAGGTCGTAATTCCCTTTCCAAGTCTTTGACAGTAGATGTTTTTGGTAAGGGGACCACATCGGCCAACTTCCAAATTTGAGGGACTTTACAGCTTTGAAAGGAAGAATTGATTATATTTGCAACTGGTGAGGCGAGAATATCCGAATAGGTTTTTAAAACCCAATTGGAAATACCGTCAGGGCCACTGGAACGCGATGTATTAATTTCTTGCAATTTTCTAGCTATAGTTGACTCGGTCACAATAATAGGCGTTTCATCGTTGTGTACAATTACAGCCGTATCTTCAGATAATGGAACATAGTTCTGTATCACATTTATAAAACATTGTTAATTTTATTACTGAGGTTTATGTCTGTCTCCTGCCATAAATCTTGAT